TCCAGAAGAGAGATCGAAGCAATGGAAGATTTGAAGAAGAGAGAGCTTTCAGAGAGAGAAAGAGCAAGAAGACAGAATGAAAAAGTGAAGGAAAAATAGAGGCAAAGGAAAAGTTTTGTCAAAAACGTGAAACGGCGGCAAAATTAGGGCAATTATTACGCCTAGAGCAACGCACGCGTTAGACGGCGCAGACGAACGAACAGAAAGCTTTCAGGCGCGTCACCGACACGCTCCAATGAAGACAAAACACGTGAAAGGAACGGTTAGATATGCATGACAGCTCATGCGCATGGGAGAGTACGATCGAAGCCTTGTTTTCCGAAGAGAACACATCGGCTGAAAGTGGATAATCTTGGCTAATCAGTTTTTGAGCCATTACTCAGAAAAGAAGTGACAAAATATCGGAATAGATTCCATCACCTCAGAATGTCGAGGTAATAGAACCTAGGGGGCATTGTGGGGATGTATTTTCTGAATACCAACGCGCGGCATGGTGACGCCGACGTGTCAGCCGAGGTGCCACGTGCCCTGGTAGTTAAGCCGAGATAATCTCGGAGAGGCCGAGGTCATCTCCGAAGATATCGGAATCCGAGATAAGGGACAAGAGTCCTAAGACGGAGAGGGGACTTAACCAAGATAAGGATAAAACTCTTAGGGAGTTTATCTTTATCTCTTAAAGAATCCAAAGTAAACATTGATATGAAGTTCATAGAAGTCATACTTCTATTGGGACTTGGATTGAGTATATTATAAAAGAGAGGCACCCCCATGGGTCTAAGGTATGCAATTTATGTTTTGAGTATTCAGTTTAGCACTTGATTTATCTTTGAGAGATATACTGACTTGATCGTCGGAGTACCCCCGGGTGGAAGAACCACCGCCATAGCTTTTTCTTTCTGTTACAGGTTGCTAAAGCCATCTATTCTGCCTGTGCTCTCCAGTTGATCACTAAACGGGCAGTGTGGTCAGATTTTCACCCACACACATGATTATTTTTGTAAACACGCTTTAGCCTATTCTGGAAATTTCTTGCAAAAACAGCCTATTTATTTAATTTAGGATTACAATAAACCCAAAAGGGTAATGACCCTATAGTTTCACTTTGTTAGAGCATCTCTAATGGTTTGCCATTGGAGTTGCCAAAACTATAATATAGTAGCTTGAGTTGAAAAGTAGTGCTCTAATGGTTGAATATATCATTTGCCAATTTTGACAAATGTCAAAACTTGTGTCAAATTTGACACAAGCTTTGGCAGATGCCAATTGTGCCAACTTAGCCAAAACCAACTATTTCCCTCTTTGCTTCCCTCCCAGTAAAACAAATTTGACACAAACTTGTTTCACCAATTTTTTTTAACAAAATTCATGAAAAAATTTTTGTAATATATTTTTTTTTAATTTTCACAAATTCAACAAAGTTTTTTTTTTTTTTTTTTTTTTTAAAAATTTTTTTTTTTTTAAAGAAAAAATCAGTCAACAACAATCAAAAAATTTCAACAAAATCTCAAACAATTTCAACAAATCTCAAATTCAGCGAAACAATTTCAACAATTTCAATAAATCTCAAAAAGCAATTTCATAAAAATATGAAACAATTTCAACAAATCACAACGAATTTGAACTAAATCTCACAGAATATGAACAAAACTTCAAATAATAAATACTTGGATTTGCCATTTTCTGTTCATATTCCAGCAGATTTTAGCAATCATCTTCTTTGTCTTCATCTTCTTTGTGACCATCTTCATCTTCTCCATCAGAGAGTTGATTTGAAGGAGTGATTCAAAGGGTTTGGGGTTAGGGTTTCAGTTGTGGAGTGTCTGCAATTTTTGGTAGAGAAAAGGGTTAGGGCTTTCAAGGCTTTGTGATCTGTTAGGGAGAGAAAAGTTTAGGTTAAGGAGAGATATAGAGAGAGAGTCAGAGGGAGACGACCGGTGGTGAGGGTACGAGAGAGTGAGAGAAAGGTTTAGGGGAGATAGTTTAAGGGATGAGACTTCCAGATTCAAGATGACGACCAATGGGTAGAGAGAGAGAGATCGGTGAGAGAAAATGGATGAAGAGAGAAACAGAGAGAGGGAGAGAGAAAAAGAGACTAAATTCTAATGAAGATCACAGAAAGAGAGAGTTGGGATGATTTTAGAGGGTTGATCTCAACCGTTGGATTATGTAAAGATCCAACGGTGAATCCAGCGGCGAGATGTGACTTGGAATGCTAAACATGAGCCTAATGGCTCTATTTCAATCTAGGGAAAAAAAAAAAAAGGGCTATTTTTCCAAACAGACAAGACACCAATGAAAAAAATAAAAATATTATAAATTAAACGGACAAAAAAAAATAAAAATAAAAAAAGGTCATGTTTTTGTAGTGGTGTAAATACAAACACTTTAATTTAATTTGAGTTCACAGCAAAACATCTTAAATTATTTTTATTTTTTTATTTTTTCACACAATCACTATGGAAGGTTCATAAAAAATAAAGAGAGGAAAACTTTTGTTGGCATTAATGAAGATGTGGCAATTTGTAGAGTTTGGTGTCACATTATTGAAAACCCAATTGTTGAAAATTTGCAATCTCATGCTCATTTTGGGAGAAGAATTTTTTAAAATTATTGCTCGATGCATAATGATCACTCAAGAATACAAGTGTCTATCTCATCTTGATAGGGTGTAATCATGAAATGTTGCAACAAATTTCGTGAGTGTTTAGCGTAAGTCAAAAATCTACACCCAAGTAGGATGTCTAAGTTGATATAGTAAGATTTCATCTTCATTTATTACATTAGTTTTTTTTTTTTTATAAATTTTTTGTCTCATATAAAAATTAACTAATTAATTAATTTAATATTTTATTGATATAGATGCTTCAAGCAAAACTTTTATACCATCAAGATGAAAACAAACATTTTGCTTTTAAATATTGTTGGCCAGTCTTGCAAAACAATAACAGGTGGCAAGACGTAATTCCTATGAATATAGTGAAGTCAAGGATGGATATATGTTTATCCCCTGATTAAGCTTCTAAATCCCTTATGGATAACTGCATTCCTCTTGAAGACGATAACAGTTTAAGTGTTGGTAACAATCTAACTATTAGTAATAATCCAATTGGTGAGGGTAGTGTCTCTGCAAGGGGTAAAAGGCCTATGGGTAGGAAATCTGCAAAAGAATTGTTTTGGAAAGTCAAACTGTTGAAGCTAAATTCCACAAATTTAATAATTTGTTGGAAACATTTAACCAACATCTTGTTGAGAAGAAAATGAAAAAAACTGAAAGAGAAGAAAAAAGGGCTCAAGCATTACAGGAGATGAAAGAACTTGATATAAAAAAAAGGAAGAACATTTGATAATGACCATGGACATTTCTCATGTGGACCCTCAGACGAAAGTGTATTATATAATGTGCAAAAATGGGATTTTCGTCAAGTGATCCGCACATGTCAGCAACCCAAATTACTCTTTTTCCCTGCCTTCTGATGAATAATTACAGAAGAATATATTTTTTAATTTTGAAATGTCATTTACTTGTCAATGTAATTTTTATTTTTCTTTTTAAATATAATTTTTATTTTGCAATGTAATGTAGTGGTCCATGTAATTTTAATGTAGTTAATAATAATTTTTTTTTTTAATTTTGTAGTCGTATGTTTTTTTGGTGGGGTGAATTATATATATATATATATATAATTCCATTTTTCAATTTTTTTTTTAATATTTGTTTGGTCGAGTACAATGTAAATATTTAATTTTTTTTTAAAAAAGTTTAAATAAGGTCACAAAAGAAAAAAAATAAACAATAAAAAAATCACTAAAAACCTATAACCAAACAACACCTACAAAATTGAAGGAAAAGTTGGTTGACATTTGCCAAAATAACATATGACTACTGGCATACCATTACTGATAAATTACTACTATTTATTGTCAAATTATAGTAATGATAATGCTATTATAGCATTTGCAATTAGAAATGTTCTTTAGGGCAAAGTTTTAGCATGCCTTCCACCGATTATAAAAAAAAATGTTACAGCTGTATGAAGGTTTGAAAAGGTTAGTCGATCTGTTTAGTCTCCACCAAATCTCATCCTGTGAGGGCATTTTTCTGATGATTTGGGATGGTTGTTGTGTTGGGGGCACAACAGTTATTGTTGTGTAACTAAATGGGCCTATTTCAAGGCTCATTTTGATGATTTGAAGCGCTCACATTTTAAAGTATACGAAGTAGAATATACTTGAAAAATATCAAATTAATCGGATATCATTAATCATCTCATCCACTCACATTTGTATTTAAAAAAATAAATGACAATTGTGATTTAAAATATTAAAATAAATACAAAAATAAATGACAATTGTGATTTAAAGTATTAAAATGAATATAAATGTAAGTGAATGAAAGGGTTAACGATATCCAATTAATTTGATTTTTTACAAGTATGCTATATTTGATATACTATAAAATGTGAATAGTTCGGATTATCAAAACAAGTTCCGAAATGAGCTCACTTAACTATATAGCAGCCACCCCAAATTCTTTTTCTGATGCTTAGCTGACAAAAGAAAATATTTGAATGAGTGAGACTGACCACCTCATATAATTACCGTGTGGAGTTAGAAGGATGCAATTACAATCTAAACTCTGGAGTTGAAGGATGCAATCGCAATCTAAAAAAAATATTAAAAATAAAACAGATGTCATACTTCAGGTATCATTTATGTAATTTACTAAATTTTAAAACACACAATGTTTTGTAGCGACAACCTCAAGTTCGGTCATGGCACATCAAATTTAAATTTAAATTTTATACTTCATTTTCTATTTCAGATCTCTCTATGTAGTGGTCTGCATTCAAATTAGTCTATTTGCCATGTTCTCTCATAGCATTTTCACATTCCTGGCCGAACAAAAAAAGAGAAAAATTCCAACTACAATTCTACAAATTTTTAGAAATGAAGTATAAAAAAATAAGCATGCATAAAATTTTTAAAAAATAAGACAAATATAAGACAAAAAGTGTAATCCATGTGAGTTCCACTCACATGTAAATCCCATATTCATAAATCCCACTTTTGATTTCTTATTTTTGTCTCCCTGGATTTATTATTATTATTATTATTTTTTAGCATAGTTGATGAAGCATTCATGATATTCATTTATGTACAAATTGCTTGGGAAAGATAAATAGACAACCCACACAGAAGGCAACGAAGAAGAACAACCTAGCCAAACCAACCCCCAAAACGAGCCACAGAATCACATCGACAATGGTATGATCTACTTCCTACAACGTGTAGAAACAAGGATGAGATCCTCTCCATAACCCCTCCATACCCCTCTTGCACACACCAATCCAGGCACATATGGATAATCTGAATCGTCTATCTCATACGCTTTGCAGTAAATCTTATCCATGCAAAAAATAAGTTTTATTGGACTACCAGTAGTCCAATGAAACTTATTTTTTATAGGAACAATTTTTACTGTGACGTCTATGAGATTAATAGTTTAAATCATCTGTGTGCCTAGATTGAGGTTCACAAGAAAAGTATGGACGAATTATGGAGAATTGAGGTATGGAGGGAGCTCCTCCCATAGAAAACGTTGATCTTTTCATATATCCCTACCAAAATTGCCTCGATTTCTTCAGAGGAGGGCTGATTTGAGGGACTGTAAAACCATCTTCATTCCATTTCCTGCTAAATTTCATGAGATCGAGTTCCTCTTCAGACCCCTTAAAAACTCCATTGATCACACCAGTTTGGGGTGGACATAGAGGAGTATTATGAGAAAATTGTATTGGAGCTTGAGGTACGCAAATGACCAAATCTTCTGATGGAAAAGGATACCAACCTTTGTCAAGATCATGATTCGAAAACTGCAAGACCAAAATGAGATTAACATTGGGTTACATGACATGCCACGTTATCTTCTGTCTCTAATGAACTTTGAATAACACAATCGTGTCTTTAAATTTTTGTGTTTCAAGATTTGTCATATTGTACAGCTGAATATTGGAGTTGAGAGGGATATGAGAAACTCTGGCCATATGGTTGTATATAGAAATGGCAATGATGAGGTGAGGTGGGGTGGGTGTGACTGGATTTGTGGTGTCCTGTCTCCTTGTTAAGGCGAGTTGGGGCAAGGTTAAGTTTGTAGTGTCCCATCCCATGTCATAACTGAGTGGGACTGGATTTGTGCTGCCTCTTTTCCACCTTGTCGCTTGTTGGGATGGAAACGGGGCATGGAAAATCAAGGAGGTGACAAGAGCATTGTAGAAATATGGAAGTACCAGGATAATTTCTCATTCGTATGAGAGAATTGTACTAACTACGAGTAAGAGAGATGATATATGAGGGATACAAATGAATGATTAATGAGAATTAGAAAGATTAAAGATGAAAAAGGAGATATTTTAGTATTTTATTTTTAACAAATTAAATGACATGCAAATGTTTATTTCAAATAAAAGTTGTTTAATTAATATAATCAAGGCCGTGTAGAGAAGCAAGTTTCGTCCCCACCCTTTTTATTTTTGGACATGAAAATCTGTGTGAAACAGGATGGAGATACAGAGTAAAGGTGGGACGGGCACGTCCCCTTCTCATTTTTATCGAGCCGGATTATGGAGTTTGGGGTAAAGGCTAGACAAATTGTTATATTTAATTACATATGTGTATGTGTATGTGTCTAGTAATAGTAAGATGTAGAGTGTACGGAAAACCTTACAGAAACCATGGGGAAAACATGAAGGATCAAGGAAATCATCGACTCGCCATCCGGGCAATGTCTCCATCAAATACTCTGATATGCTACTGGTTGACAGGGATACTGAATTTTCTTGGCTCACATAACGGTAATGGTGGTCATGATCATGATTAGCTTTGCAAGGTGTTGTATTTGTTGAAGGTAATGATGCCTTGTCGTAATGAATCGAACTTGTTGGGTTAGAGCTTTGATTAGAAATAACAGAGCTTTTGATATGTGAATAAGTGGGAAGATCAAATCCATTGGAGGAGGAGGATGAAGAAGAAGAAGGACATGAGAGCTTGACACCGGTGAGAAGAAACCTGTTGTGTTTAAGGGTGTGTTCGTTTGCTTTGTGGATTGGAATGTCGCATTCTCTGCACAGGATGGCTCTATCTTCTTGGCAGAACAGAATGGCGCGTCTTTCCTGTATATAACCCAAAAAAGTTTAAGGGTCCGTTTCGGAAGAACTAAAGTGAGCTTTCTTGTTTATTTTAGCTACAAAAGACAAAATACGTTATTTTAATCAAAAAAAAAAAAATCACATCCAACCCATAATCATTACACTCTTTTCTCACAAAAAAGTCAAAAAAACCAAAAAGTCAAAAAGTCCTTCCCAAACCAAGCTTTTTAGCCCAGACTAAAATAGTCAAAAAAGTCAAAAAGTCAAAAAACTAACCCACTTCCCAAACGGAGGCTAAAAGAAAAACCTATCATATACAACCTTAAAAAAAAAAAAAAAAAAAAAATCACCTCTTTATTTGAGAGAGTATACCGTCTCACAAATGGAGGAGCAAACAGAAACTGCGTGGGTCTCGGAGGATCACATCTACACAAATTTATTAGCCTTCGCTTGGCAATTATTTTTTTAGTTGAATTTTTGACCTTTTTTTTTTTTTTTGTCTTTTTTATGCTGAGATTTTTTTATTTGTTTAATATTTTTAGTTGACTTTTTAGTTTTTGAAATAGTAAATTTTTTTTTTTACCCAATATGTTTACCAAACAACCGCTTAATTTGCCGGTAAAAAATATTATTTCTATGATTTGTATCGTTATGTGTGACTATCTTGCATGTGAAGATGCAAAGCAAACTAACGAACAAGTTCAATTAATATTGACATGAATAATAAAACTTAAACCCACCACATTTTGGAACAAGAGCTCTGAACCATTTGAAATCACCAATTATTCAAAATGGCTTTTTTAACAAGATGAAAACTTATATTTAAAAAGTAAAAATTAAAAGGAAAACACTGTTATATATTTTTGTGATAAATGTTATGTATTTTTCTAGTAGGAGTTACGATAATTTGTGATTTAAAAATAAAATTATGTATTTTTCGGAAGTGTTACGCATTTTTATAATAATGTTACACATTTTTTTATCTAAATATTTTCTAACCACAAAATTTGACAATATCACAAAATAAATAGTGTTAGTACAAAAATACGTAACTTCGTTTCTCAATCATAAATTATCGTAACATTTATTACAAAAATAAAACATTTCACTCTACTTTCAAATAATCAGTTTATTATTATTATTTTATCATAATTTATTTAAATTAAGAAAAAATTCATTTTACCCCTTATGACCTCGGAGCATTTATTCCCTTATAGTTCAAATATCGGGAAAAAATCCATTACGATTTTGGAACAAAGTACAAAACCGACTCTGTTAAAAGTAATGACAAAATTACCTAATACCCCTATGGCATGTTATCTTTCTATCTTCTCTAAGACATAATTTTATATCTTAATCACGTATTTAACAAAAAAAATTATAGTAAATTAAACACCTTAATTTATTATTACCAAAAATTAAATCATAAAATTATCTTAATCTAATTTTTAATCTAATTTCTTATTTATAAGCATATATATATATCTAATTAAATAATAAATTAAACTAAATAACCTAATTTATTGCCATCAAAATTACATTTTATAATAACATTGTTATATATATTTAAAAAATTAATAAATTAAACTAAACACCATAATTATAAAAATTATCCTTTATTTATTTATAAATAAATAACACTTTTAATTACACATATAAATATATATATTTAACAAATTAAATTATAAATTAGCTTAAATACCTTAATTTATTACCATAAAAGTACCTTAATCTAATTTTTAATTTTTAACCCAAATTATTATTTAATAATATGTTAAATTAAACATTTAAATATATACATATACATATACATATATATATTAAATTAACCTCAATACTCTAATTTATTACCATGGAATTACCTTACACATATATATATACATATATGTATGTATGTGGGTGTTTAGTGAGAAACTTCACTGTTTTTGTGTAGAGGAAGCGTTACCTTTTCATTATGTTTCTGTACATAATATATACACCAAGAGTTGCTAAGTTTATGCAAAAGTTACAGCTTTAAAACCCATGATTCATGGCTGAAAATGAGTCCTAAATTTATGGAGTACCGTCAGTGATTTCCTCTTCATATGTTTTCCAGTCTGTTGTGCCATGAGATGTGCTTTCCTTAAAACCGCCCCGCAAGTTGGAGTGGGAGGGGTCATGGACACCCAACTTGGTTCCAAAAGATGTAAAACTGATTTTAGGCAGGGCCTTCGTAAACAGATCTGCTGGTTGAGCGGACGAGGGTATGTAACGAGTGGTGAGATGCCCCATGGCAACTTTCTCTCGGACAAAATGGTAATCGAGCTCAATGTGTTTAGTCCGAGCGTGAAACATGGGGTTGATCGACAAATGAAGAGCACTAACATTGTCACAAAACAACTGAGGTGGCCGTGTAAGAGAAACTCCAATATCCCCGAATAAGAAAGTGAGCCAACTGAGTTCAGCAGTGTTTGAGGCCATAGAACAATACTCAGCTTCAGAACTTGAACGAGAGATTGTTGGTTGTTAAGGAAAGCACATCTCATGCCACAACAGATTGGAAAACATATGAAGAGGAAATCACTGACAATACTCAATAAATTTAGGACTCATTTTCAGCCATGAATCATGGGTTTTAAAGCTGTAACTTTGCATAAACTTAGTAACTCTTGGTGTATATATTATGTACAGAAACATAATGAAAAGGTAACGATTCCTCTACACAAAAACAGTGAAGTTTCTCACTAAACACCCACATACATACATATATGTATATATATATGTGTAAGGTAATTCCATGGTAATAAATTAGAGTATTGAGGTTAATTTAATATATATATGTATATGTATATGTATATATTTAAATGTTTAATTTAACGTTAAAACTTGGTTTGCAAATTTAAAGAGCTTTAATATTAACCCAATTTTAAATAAATTTTAATCAAATCAATAACATACCAGGCAACAATATGAGTCCCAACTTATTTACTAAATCAATTAAATATGAATCAAACTTGAATAACATAGGTTGATTTTACGGCCTTATATTGAAGTATGTGTGTATGTATATGGGAAAAAAATTGAATGAATGGATACACACCTGGCAGATATCACAGAGAGGGCGGGATTCAGATTGATTGGAGGAGGAAGGGAGGAGGAGAGAGAAGCGGATGTGTTTGGTGGCGAGTTTGTTGGCATGGTGGACTCGCTCGTCACAACCCTCGCACAGGGCCGCTTCATCTGCCGAGCAAAACACCGACGCCTCATCTTTGTTACACACATCACACTGTATCTTCATCCTCTCTCTCTCTCAAATGTTAAGGGAAAATATTTGAGATACATGTATATATCTTTATGTCTATATATATAATGTAGATTTATAACCTAACATATATACATATATTTTTTATTATTTTAACAACTCAGTACAGTGTTTTGCTTCCAAGCAAATTATTGGAATGTTTAGATGCAAAAAGGCATTGCTTTATTGTTTCACGAAATGCTACTGGTTTAGATAAAAAAATAAAATAAAAAAAAATAGAAAATAGTGGATGGTTCACAATATTTTTATTTTTTATTTTGCAAACATTACGATTAAAAAAAGTCAACTTTTTGTTGTTTGTTGAATAATATGGGAATCCGGAAGGAAAGAGAAGAAGGAGGGTCAAGATTAGAGTTTTCATATTAGTTTGTGGAAGAAGATGATGATAACTAAGGCATATTTGTTATTTCACATTATATTTTGACTTTACTGTCAATTTTTTTTTTTCATGCCAACTCTCAAATGAGGGAGGTGAGATATACGTTTAGTTAGATTAAACGGAATTTAGGATGGTAGGGAGTCAAAGTGCAAAATGACTAAAATCACAAAGGAGATTTTTGGTTATTTTTAAATGTGAGTGGGGTGAAGTGCTCTAGAACAATATTACAAATAGGTAAACACTATAACAAACTGCACCTTTGGCGATTAAAATTGGTGACCAAAACAATTTTAGTCGCTAAAAACATAATATTAGACGACTAAAAATCTCATTTAGTCGGCATTAGTTTAGTATTTTTAGCTACTAAATTACTTTAGTCGCCATATTGACTTATTGGCGACTAAACTGAGTTTTAGTTGCTATTTACAACATTTTAAGCGACCAAAATTTCATTTAGTCGCCGTATTGTAAGATTTTTGCGACCAAAAATGTTTGTCGCCAAAAAATGGGTGTATGTTGATGATTTTTTGGCGACTAAAGCTAAATTAGTCGTTGTATGTTAACTATTGCCGACGGAAATTTTAAAGTAGTAGCCAAATAGTATTCTTTTCGCGACTAATTTTTAGTCGCTGTTAGTGATATTTGCCGACAAATAAGCAGCTAGTCGCTAAAGCTTCGAAATTTTTTTAGAGGGAAACTAATTAAGGTTGGCGCCCATGATGAAATTACACAGACTCACTTTTTTGTTCTGTTTTGACTCACACACCAACATACAGAGCAGTCAATACACCTAACCTCACCATTGCTCACCACCGCCGATCACCACCATCGCTGGCCACCGGCGGTCACCACAACGACCACTACAAATCGGCCCCACCACTGATTACAGGTATTTGTCTCTCGTCTCTCTCCTTTTCTGTCGATCTGGGTCTGTGTGTTTCTATCTCTGTCTCGCCGTTTCTTCCCATTTCTGTAGGGTTTGTATATGTGTTTTTTCTTTAATTTCTGTTCATGTCATATTTGCATGTTAGGGCTTTCTCTGATTTCATGAATGGGTTTGGTTGAAATTTTGGATTATGGATTTCTAATTCCCGATGGTGGATTTTGTTGAACTGTATGACCAATATGAGTTTTGTATTGGTATTAGGGACAAACCACCAACAAAAACCTGTGAACCATTGGAAAGTTCAAATTTGCATTGGTATATTGGCAATTTGGGAATAAAATCATTGGTATATTGACCTCTAATATATCAGTTAACAATGATTGATTTTATAAAATTAGAGGTATATTGATTGATATATTAGAGGGATATATTAGAGGGATATTGATTGATATATTAGAGGGATATATTACAGGTCAATATATTTGAAAAAATCATTGATTTTATCAAATCATTAGTATATTGATGTCACGACCCAAACCCGTCCCTATAGATTTAGCACCATAACCGGCCAGTAATCCGAGATTACCGAAGGCCTGCTTAACTGTAATACAGTAAAACAGAGTATAGGGGCCTAGCGGAAGCCAATACAGTAAATAAACAATGTCCAATGAGCTGTGACAGTCTGAATGCCAAAAAGACTTTTCATATATATATATATATATACACAGTGCAGAACAGTATGTACAACATTTATAATCATTCAGATTAGGGACCTAATCCTTATTAAATAGTACAGTAACAGTCTACAAAACAGTTACAGAGATAGACGGGGGAAATTAAAACACCCCTAAGCCATAGCTTGACAGGCTCGGAACCTCGCAGTGAGGCACAGTGGTTGGCTTGACAAAACTGGAGCTTACCCCGACGCTTCTAGCCGCGGTCTGGTGCCTGTACACCTACATATATGTATGAGCAGTGAGCTAAAACCCAGTGAATAACATAATGCGTAAAGAGGTTTAGAATGAATGTCCTTACAGTAATGAAAACAGTTCATTAAATCAGTATTTCAGTCGTTAAGTCATATGTGGTACATCCATTAGCATAACAGTATAGTAAACAGTAGGTCTTGAAAGACCGAACAGTCAATGATGGCCATCAATCAGTAAACAGTAGTGGTTCCAACAAGGGAACCGACAGAGATCTCTGTAACAGTAACAGTCAGTAACAGTAGTTGCTAAGGATGCCACAATACAGTTCAGAATAGAGGACATACATTCATTCTATTAATAGTATCAATTCAGAAACAGTACAGTTCAATTGTTCAGAAGATAATCATTTTTGAACATATCTTTACACAGTTGTTACTCACAGAGTCCTGGGCTACAGTTAGGCTACAGCGCGTCCCCAGTCGCCAACCCTACACAGTTTACAGATTGAACACACACTAAGCTACACACACTAATCGATCTCCGGTTCGGCCGCTGATAAAGCTTTCAATTCGCAATTTAAACATAAAACATGAACAGATAATCAAACAGTCAAACAGATAGATAATGCATTTAAACAGATACAGTTAATCAATCAGTTTCAGATTTCAGTCAGTCAGTTCAGTATTTCAATCAGTTCAATTACTTTTCATAATCAGTCTCAGCTTAGCAGTAATCGATAGTTTATCGGTAAACAGTGGTGAGGGTTGTTACAATTGACCTCTAAATTACCAATGATTTTATCAAATTTGCACTGATTTTATTGACCTCTAAAATCATTGGAAAGTTCAAAGGTATATTGACCTTTGAAAAAATTATTGACATATTAGAGGGATATACCTCTAATCATTGAACTTTCCAATGATTTTAGAGGTATTAGACTGAACTATTGAACTTTCCAATAATTTTTTCAGAACTTTCCAATAGTTTTTTAACTTTCCCTCTAATACCTTTAATCATTGAACTTTCCAATGCTTTTGTTGCAGGTTTAGGGTTTTTCCATGTACGGCTTTTGTTGTTTTCATATGAGTGATGTGAGTATTCTCATTCTTAGTTGTATTTTCCTCTCTCATCAGGTCTTACTCTCTACCAAACGTACACACCATCATTTTTGGGTTTGAGGAACAACTTCGAATTGGGTATGTACCAAGCAGCAATCAATAACAGCTACATTCCTAATCTTCATGTGTTATAGTTTTCAGAATATTTGCCGTCATTTGATGCAAATTTTCAATGATTTTATTTGGGAATTTTTTCCCCTCATTCTTTGAATTTGGAACTCTATTAATGATAGTCTTGTCAATATACCATCTTTGGTGATTTTCTTTCCCTCTTTTAAGTGTTAGTGGTGGTTGTCTTTAGTTTTTATAGAATTTTCCCAAATTACATAGTTATTTTTGAATTGTTTCATGTCTTATTCACCCAAGTTTTTTTTTTTGAATTGTTGAAAAGGATTGGTGATTCTAGCATCGATCTCAGAAGTACAGTAAGGGTAATACTTTTTCCTTATTTAAATATTTAGTTTCCATTTTATTCTTTTTTTTTAGGACGAATTTCCATTTTATTCTTGTGGTTATGGTTTATCTTCTTGATTTGCCACAATGACTTGTAATATATGTTGGTGTTGGTCTTACGTAGACTTTTTACTCTTTTTGTACCTTTTAAAGGTCCCGAAGAGCTTCCCAAGTGGAACTATGATGGATGTAGCATATGCCAAGCTCATGGAGAAAAGTGTTAATTGATCATATTGTATGTCATCTTGTTTTCACTTTTTTTCCTTATTATATTGATTGCTCTTTTCCAGTATTATTTTCCATGTTTTGGTAGATTTAAATTTAAATGAAATGGGTGCTTGCTTTTGTAATTTGGTTATATAACATGACAATCCTGAACCAATTTTTGAAGATCCATTCTGGTGGGGTAACAATATATTGGTAGTGGTGAATTAAGCCTGTATTTTGCATTCAATTTTGTTTGGTTTTTGGAGAATTTTCATTATGATGTGGTAAACAAATTTTGTTTAGCTGTCTTTCTCATTACATTGTCTTCTTCATTGGGCATGTGTCAATATTTTTCTATACTCTATTTTATGTTTTCTTGCTATTCATATTCTAAGTCTATCATGTTTTTTAAAAAATTAGAATATTGACTTTTTTAATACTTATTATTTTCCTCTCTAAGAGTTCTTAAATATGTTATAATTGTACACCCAATACACGTGGACGTTAGGATATGCATCTTTAACAAATTATAGTTGAACAACTAGTAGTTTGCTTTGGGTATTTTGCTTTGGGATTATCAGTTAACAAAACATTTTCTTCTCCCCTCAACATGGGTTAGCAATATAATGTCATGAACTAAAATTATGGAAAGACGTTGCCGATGACCCAACAATGAACACATACCCCATGACGGCGTGCTGATGACCAATCAACAAACACACTACGAAAAACTTGATGTTTACACTGTGGTTGTTTTGTATAGTGGAAAATAATTTCTTTAAAAGTCAGCCTCAGTTAAGAAATCTGTGTCCAAAACATAACAAATTAGGATTAGAAAGTGTGATTAATCAGTAGCAACTATAGCGTAATGCTTGAAAGAGTCTTTAATACACTCTTATTTGTGAATAATGCATAAAAATAGCATTGAATACACTAATATTTGGAGGTGTTAGTTTCACATAGAATTGTAAATGTATTGTGAATGTATGTCACATTTGCGTATGAATACATG